AGGGCCTTGAGTGCATGCTCTGTTGGTGTGTAGTATTTTACCAATGATGCTGATGGTCGGTGCTACTATCTACTGATCTTCCTGATGATGTTGGTCATGCTGATTAGTTTATGACCAAGTGAAATAGAAACCGAGTCACTTGTCTTGTGGACAACTGCAAGCAGTAATAGTACTTTTAAGAACTGATCAGAGCAGCACAGCCATGTACTGTGATGTACATGTACCGTATTCTAACGCATATAAGACCATGGTCTTATATTCGATTATAAGACCATGGTCTTATATTCGATTATAAGACCACCTCCGGTTAGATGACCATGGTCTTGTAAGTGAATGAAAATCACAAAACGAAACGAGGATCACCGTGGTTCCATTGTACTGGTATTCACCAATAATATGTGAACTTGCACAGTCAGTCATATACATGTCGATGCGATTTTTGTCTCTCGCATATAACCAAGGTCTTATAATCGAACGAAAATGCACTTGTGAAAGGAACGAAAACAATGACTTTTTGATTCTAAGACCATGGTCTCTACTCTCTATGGTGTTTTATGAGCGAGATTATGGTACATGTAGCTACACATAGCTACAAGGCAACTCTCTCTCTCTCTCTTCTCTCTCTCTCTCTCTCTCTCTCTCTCTCTCTCTCTCTCTCTCTCTCTCTTCTCTCTCTTCTCTCTCTCTCTCTCTCTTCTCTCTCTCTCTCTCTTCTCTCTCTCTCTTCTCTCTCTCTCTCTCTCTCTCTCTCTCTCTCTCTCCTTCCCCTTCCCCTTTGACTCTGCTATATTCTGGTGTGGACTGGTTGCAGCATGGGCAAAGGTCAGCGCTCTGGATAAGTCTTTGTCATTACATGAAGAAGCATGGCCACAGCCCTGCAGACCCAGGCCTAAGTCTGATCAGAGCCAAGATACCGGCAAAACACCTCATGAGCGACACGTCGGGTGCCTCCTCCAGTGGTGAGCAATACTCACGGTGATGTGATGCTGCTGTTGGTATTGTGTGTGTGTGTGTGTGTGTGTGTGTGTGTGTCCAACCTGTCGGAAGGCTACCCTCTTGCCAAAGCATTTTGGAAGTTGGACTAGTTTCGGCTCCACAATCCAGTGTGTCGTTACTATATAGCTTTCATGGCTGAGGTTGTTGGTATGTCTGTTGGCCCTGGATTCCCAGTACCCAGTTGCCGTGGCTGGTTGGTAAAATAACTCCAATTTCACTTCAAGGTACCAGTGCATCTAGTGTCTGCTTTTATCAAAGCAGCGTGCTGTCTATACTGGTTACCCCAGCAAGTGTAGGGTGTGCATAGGTAACTGTCTTGGCCGTTTTATGCCGATGTACTCCGTGTGGTATAGACCAGGTGTGCATTGGGGGGTCAATTCACATGACTTCGCCAGTTGTGTGGATTAGACAGTTATCTGGCGCTTGTCGTGATCTGTTTCAATCAGAATCAGATCCGCTATTGTTGCTATAAAGAGAAAAATCTGTGGGTGCACATCCAGTGCATTTGCAGATTTGCGTGCTTCTCTTGCGACGGGCGGATACATGGTACATGGTACATGGTGTGTGTGTGTCCGATATGGTGCTGTGGAATTTGCGATTGATTTCCAATCGAGATGTTGCGGGCTGTGTTTTTGTGGGGGGGGGGTTCCAATCGAGAGGTTGTGGGTTGTGTGCATGTGTAGGGGGAGGGGGGGGGGGGGGAGGGATGTCGTCTATTTTGATTTACATGGTGTACTTGACGTATTTGCTATACCTCACCGGGTAAAGATTGTAGGACTCCGGCAACATTGCTGAGGACGTGGAACAAGGGGCCAGCTGTCCTCTTTATTTTTGCAGAATACTCCACATAGCTGTGTGCATTGACATGGTTGTGACTCTTAGACTATAGTGGGTAATAAATATACTTGTAGTGGTACATTTCCGTATGATCCTGCACATCATGCATGTGTCCAGTACTTACACTCACGGGGTGGGAATCTAGTTCTGTACGGAAGCTATACTGCAGCAGCGCATACACACGCACGTACACACGCACACACACACACACGCACACATATATGGCTGTAGTTGTCTTCTATACGCCGTGCATGCAGCACAGAATGCATAGAATGCATGCACACTTTTTCAGTGCATAGGTCTGTCCCGATGTAGAAGCTCTGAGCACACTGACATGTCAAGAAACACACTGTGCCTGCGCCGCAATGCTGGAAACAGTTCTCGGGTGGGAGAATAAATAAGGTCCGGCTACCGGAACAATTTGCTGGTTCCTCATGTATAGTTTCTTGCTGTACTCCCTTTGTCCTCCCATCCGTTCCCCCTCCCATTGCATCATCACCCCTACATATGTTCTTCACAGGGCAACGTGCTGTTCCTTTAGATCGTCTAAAGCCTACCGACGAGTCGACCCTGGACAGTAAGACTAGAGCTGTGCAGGCTAGTGCTCATGGCTGCTCTACATCCGTAACTGCTTTTCTCCCTTCGACATCCCGCTGTAGTCGCTGCTTGTGTTGCCACACATACACATACGCGATGCACACAGCAACATAGGCAGGTGATACCTGTATATGCGGACTTGAGTGACTGAAGTCTCCAGCATAGATGCTGCTGAGGCTGCAGTGGAACACATCCATGTTGCTAGCTTGACTTAACAACGCTGCTAGGTATTATCCGGTACATAGAGATAGGGTCGACTTAACAACGCTTCTAGCCATTATCCGGCACACGTGTAGAGATATGGTTGACAACGCTGCTAGCTATCATGTACATGTCTAGAGATATGGTTGACTTAACGACGCTGCTAGCTAGTATCCGGTAAATGTGTAGAGATATTTTTTTATGATGGCAACAGGAGCATCATCATCATAACCTCGGTGCCGTTACGTCCAATCTGCCAATGTCCTGGGCCTGGTCTTCAGCTACTTCAGCCAGGCAACAGTGTCTTACACAGTTCCACAGCAGTTGTCTTTCTTCGGGGTCTCCGTCTTGTCACCTAGCCAATGTCACCCTGCTGCTGCTGATACCTGGCGCTACTTTTCGTATGCACTCAACCACCAGGAGGTGCGCATTTCTCTTTTTATACTCCCTGTGGATTTTCCCCGAGAGACGGGAACTTAGACAGCCTAAAGGATGTGTGAAAGACTTGTGTGTTCCTGTTGCCTTGCTGTCTTCCTCTTGTCCCTGTGTGCACACTCAGGAATGCGGCATTTCTCGTACAACTCCAGAAAATCTGTCACTGGAACTCCCAAAAGTGGTGCTACTGTGATGAGGTCGTCGTCGATGATATCATCAAAACGGATCCAGCAGAAGCTACTTGAACAGGAAGCGTCGCCGGGCGAGTTAGCAGTCCGGGCGTTCTGTGTCGGTAGAAGGCGGTCATTTCACGTGCAGTTGATAGACGATATCAGGTGAGTGGGAGATAGACAGGCAGAGAGACAGAGAGACAGAGAGAGAGAGAGAGAGATAGAAAGAGGTACAAGCACAAAGGATATAGATCCGCCAACCCCTCGCACTCGTGATGTGTGCGTGTACAAGAGAGGGAAAGCAGGAATTCATTGGCCTAAAAGAAGTCTGTAGCATACTCGTAGACCAGGCTAGAGAGTGACAATCAATTCTTCAGCCTTGCAAGCGGTTGAATGGTGCTTTCCCAGCACAAGTTGCTAGAGTTGCTGCTGTAATGGTAGGCGTCTACCGCCTAGGGTCTTATGTGTGTGTGTGTGTGTGTGTGTGCATGTGTGTGCGTGTGTGTGTGTCATCTCATCCAGACGTGTCATGCGTATGCCGGAGATCAAGAGCGACAATGGCTGTGCTCGGGCGTTCATCAGGTAGGTGCTTCCTACATAGTAGTATGACAGTGCAGGTAGAGTGTGACTGCAGCTGATATGCATGTACAGCAGAGAGTCAGGGAGACGGCACAAGATCATAGTACCCGGAATGATGTGCGTTTAGAGTAACTTCAGACCCGCGGATTCAGAAGTTTAATGTGACCTGTAGGCTATGCAACTCACAATCACGACCTTGACCTGCTCACCCCAAGCACGGCGCAGACGAGTGACACCATGTTCCAGCGTGTATGAATCAGCCCTGCCCCTTAGGGCAACTGTAAAGGGCAGCCCGGGGTTGAACCCCACATGATATAGCGTTTCAGTTGCCCATGCCGTCTCTCTAGATGCTAACGTTATGCGTATTCTGACTACTGTATTAGAGAGTTAAAAGTGTGACGAGTCTAAGTTTAACGATCTGCAAAATGTCCCACTTGGCGGGCACAAAGTTTAACGACCCTGCCATCACACACCTGTCTTCTATTTGTCTAGCACAGAGGAGAGAAGGAATAACATATTATGTGTAACGTTTCTTGAGTTCACGGTGGATTCTTTCTCGTTAGAACATTAGACTTTGTGCCCCGTTAGAGATTCAACTCTTACCGTATCTAGTGTACATTTATTGAACTGGCATGGTGCATTTTAAATACATAGATAACATAGTACTCAATCTGCGGACAGAACTGTTTCGTCCTTTGTGGACTCGTCAGCGCAGCACAGAGGAAATGAGGCCGAACCTGATAGCAATGGAAATGAAAATTTCCAATCAGGCCCGAACGTACCTTGCCAGAGTGCTCAAACTAACAAGTCAGTGAGCTCTGCATAACGCAAACAGCAAAGGTACTACCCCACGCAAGAGTGCTCAACTGCTACAAGAGCAGGAGCGAAATACTCAATCTGCGGACAGAACTGTTTCGTCCTTTGTGGACTCGTCAGCGCAGCACAGAGGAAATGAGAAAAAAAAGAAAAATAGATAACATAGTATGTTACTTGTACACTCCATGGTGAGAATTCCGTATCTAATTCTAGTATGGTCTCAAACTGAGATTTTAACCCTTTGGAATAGTCCTTGTCTCGCCATTTCACTCGTGCTAGCTCAAAATCATTCAAATTTCTTCTAACAGACTCACAAAAAGCGCTGGGAGTGATGTCACACGCTGCGTGGGCAGTAAGAGGGAAAATCCCACTTTTGAACGAAATTTGCACTAAGCTGACGCATGAGAAATCGAGCGAACGTTCGAGCACTTGCCGCTCTGTTATACTAGCTCGTATCGACCCCGGAGTTTCGAGCCGACAGCTTAGATTCTCTGCTACCTCGTAGGTATTTCGATTGTTGAATTCAGTTGAGATTTGACTGAGTAATGACTCGTTGAGTGCACTTGCACACATGGCATTGGTATCGTTCGATTTTGAACGATCAGCTCCAACGGGTTAATCCACAACATTTTAATCTCTTGCATTGCTACTTCTGAAGTACATGTGTACTCGATTCGTGCAAGACAGGCATCTCAAAGCCTCATGGGAGGACAGTCTGGCTTGCCAATTCGAAGCATAAACCTATCAGAATCCTAAAAACCCTTCTGAGATCATGTTACGGAACCATCGAAATTTCTACCCAATTTTAGTCACGTGGCATAGATGTGACCACTATGACAGCCAGACCGACAGAGGAGAGGTCATGAGTCTTGCTGCGTTGGTATCTTCTTTTTGCTTCTACTGTAATAACATCAATGCTGTGAGCTGAACGAATAGCGCTCATCCTTCCTGTGGCTGTGGCTGTGTGTGTGCGTGTGTGTGCGTGCGTGCGTGTGTGCACTTACGTACACGTGTACATGTGGGTGGGTGGTTGGGTGGTTGATTGCAGGTTGGCTCTAGAGAAAAAAATGCTCGCCAGCTATCTGGAGAAGCTAGTCGACGATATGGTGTATCTTGTGTAAGTACTACACACGCGCACACACACACACACACACACACACACACACACACACACACACACACACTGTACTGTATTGACAGCTACCCTAACGGGTCACGCCGCCCTCCACCCGAGCATGGGTATGATGAGGGGCAGTGGCAACAAAAACAAAAACAGCAAGCAGAGAGAGATAGCAGGAGAAAGACAGCGATAGTAGTACATCTGGTGTGCGACGTATAGAAAAGGGAGATGACAAGAGATACGCACAAAAAGGAAACAATAATTATTTGAACCTGTATTATTGCAGTTCCGAAACAATCAACCAGGTGATGGAGTGTGGGCACCCGAAGTCCCACCTGGACTCCACTGGAAGAACATTCCACGCAGGGATATCAGCGATAGGCCAAGCGTTGAAAAACAGCCATGAGGACACATCGTCTAGAAGTCCACCGCGCTCGAACTGAAATTGCAGGATCAAACAATTTCCCGCGCGTCGTCAGGCAGCGTAACTCTTCTCCTTTCATCACCATCCATCTCCAGCAACCGTCTCCACTCACAGCTCATGCCTCTGCCACCACTGTACTCCGAGCTTCGCAGTTTGAAACCATTCGGGGGTCAGCTACACCACCGCGAATGGAGAGACGAGGACGACAACGGTCGTGACAGAAAAGACACTGCCCTGGCGACCGCGTCGCGGAACCCTCGCCCCAGCAAATTCAGAAACACGCCAGGGGCGACTGGTGGACCCAGAGCCACCCCATGGCCTAAGACTAGTAAGAGGAACGACTGAAAACTCAGATAAACCGGAGCTACAAAAAGTGCAACCGTCCCCTTCAAGCACAGTCACACACACACACACACACACACACACACACACACACACACACGCACACACACACACACACACACACGCAGACCAACACAAGTACTCCCCATATTGTACACAGGGAAACCTTTGCGATCTGGAACCCTGCGATTGGAGTGAAATCGCAAAGTAAGCTAGCACGAAATGTAGAACTGTACAACAAAACTAATGAAATTGACTCAAATCGCAAACATGTCCAGGTGCAAATTGGTGTGTGCTCGCAAATCGCGAACTAAAACCAGCGCAAGCATTTCCCGGATACAGTGCTCTCTTTCTCCTGATCATGTGATCATGCCTACAACCACTCGGCCAAAGCGCTGATTGCAAAAGCAACCTTTTTAAAAGTCAGAATTTGGCTCTGCAATCACCTTTGCACAGCGCTGCCCCTGAACGGCACAATGTGCAACTTCCATTCAGGATGCAACCCCATGCCTCCACTGCATCCCTGTGCATTCCTGGGCCCATTAGCGAGAGAGCAGATGATTTGGGGGGGGGGGGGGGATCAGCGGTACCAGGTGCCGGATATAGGTGTAGAAGATGAGCTGAAGAACTGTGGTTTCAGAGGGATGACTGTGCCAGGTGTAGGAGTCGGAACCAGGGAGTAGTACAATACGGTAGGTATTTGGCTACTTCCTGGTTGGAACTTACTGCCATTGCATGGTCTTTTACTTATCCTTTGTTTGGAGTAAACTATACACATCAGTGACATGAACTGTCTCTGTAGAATGCGTTATCGTTTCCACCAATGTAATGATCGGGCTGTCAGTGTAATGCCCCCCCCCCCCGCCAAGACTCCTCATAGTACATGTACATCCTCACTTCTGTAGTGCAGTGCAGGGCAAGGCCATATAGCGTTTATTGCCTGATAATTCTGAATATGTGTGTTTGTGCGTGTGCATGCGTGTGTGCGTGTGTGTATGTGTGTGCGTGTGTGTATGTGTGTGCGTGTGTGCAGGGAGACCTATCGGGACTATGCGTTTCTACGGCAAGAGGACATGGCCGAGCAGCTAATTGGTCATCTGCTGATTCTGACTACTGTCAACTTGTCATCGTTCAGTAACTGCTATCACTCGGCCAGTAAGGATTGCTAGTGTTTATTGCTGTTTCGTCTTTGTGCCGTACGGCAAAGTGCTTTCAGTGTAGCTTGCTTGCTTCGATAAAATGTGGATTTCTTCAGGGGTTTTCTTGACATCTATGAAAGTATCTGTTTCTGTGTGTGTGTGTGTGTGTGTGTGTGTGTGTGTGTGTGTGTGTGTGTGTGTGTGTGTGTGTGTGTGTGTGTGTGTGTGTGTGTGTGTGTGTGTGTGTGCGTGTGTGTGCGTGTGTGTGTGTGTGCGTGTGTGTGTGCACATGTATTTTGCTTGATAGCCATGGTGTACACCGTGGTGGTGATTCCAAAGCAAGGCTTATCACCAGCGCTACAAATGCGGCTGTTCGGCTCCAATGGTGAAGTGAACATGTTTGAGATTCCTGCTTCCACGTCTTACTTCCAGGTCCAGGTAAGGAAGCTAGGGCAACTGATCAACTCTCTCCAGACAAGTCGGACTTGTCCAGAAATAATACACGTGTTGGTTGCTGGGTGCTGGCACACGGTACAGAACTGCACGGCCACGGTGAATTGTAGAACAGTTCTACTCATGGATTGGTACTCTAGTTGAGAGATTTTAGGTGCTCACAATCTAAGCGGTATGCGGGCAAAAGACCAGGTTAGGTGAACAGAAATGTTAGGTACAGAGAAGCAGTTCCGTATTGGACAATGTGTGTCAGTGTTTGTGCAGCAATTGAAATATTTAGGTGTGAAAGAGATGCACCCAAACTGGGCCAAAAGTACAGGTACAGGTATGTAGACATTTTGTGAAATTACTGTAGCTAAACAGTACCGACCTATTCCACTCAAATACTCGTATTCACCGCACTGCAGCTCGATAATTTTCAATGCTCATGCATGTGGCCAAAGTTGTGTGTCCTCGTCATGCATCGACTCCAACACGAACGTTGAAGAAGTGTTGACTGTGTGTGCACTTTCAAGGCTCTGCCGGTGGACATTTGGCACTACACAAAATGTGTGGCATGTGAATCGATTTGATTTCGATCATCACACGATAGTGCGTTAGACTGCTGGCGTTGACTTGGAGCCAATATGGCCGTGTACTAGTATGTATTCTTTGACATTGCTTACAGCCTTATACTGCTGTGTACGACTGGCCCTGTCGCTACTAGTATGTTCTTTTTGTTCTTGTTTTGTACTTGCGACTCTCAGAACACAAACATTGGATGCGTGGAAGCAGCTCTTGTGTCTTCTGTTGATAGTGAGTCATCATTACTTCATTTGAAGTACATCATTACATCATTACATCATTACATCATTGCATCATTGCATCATTATATCATTGCATCTGATCCTGCGACAGTGGGAATGATCCTCACATGGCACACTGACTGTGGTGACAGTCTTGAACTTCACGTGTGCTTGGTTTTGTCGTGTGTGTGTCGTTGCCCAGCATTGCATCTTTGCTCTATGCTGGGCACATCGGAGTACGCTGTACTTTGTCACACTTACCCACACACTTACCCGCAAGCGCACGCAAACGCACACAAACACACGAACGCACACACACACACACACACACACACACACACACACACACAGCAGGATAGTTCATGCAGTAATCCCCAAGCTAGCTCTGACTAATCCCACACGGCTGGCTGCCCTTTCGCTGCATGCATGTACAGTGGTCCCTCTATAATCCGGCACCATTTGTGCCACGAAAATCTGCTGGATTAGGGAGGGTGCTGGATTAACAAATCTGATTTACTGCTGCAATGTGCATGAAGAGGACATTTTGGCTACTGAAAATTGTGCTGGTTTATCGAGGGTGCTGGATTATAAAGTGCCGGATTAGAGAGGGACGACTGTACATGTACTGTGTGTTGCATACTGCTGTGCCTTCCCTTCATCCTATGCATGTATCCAGCAGTCATTGTGGCGAGCCTCCCTTTCATTCTATGCATGTATCCAGCAGTCATTGTGGCGAGCCTCCCTTTCATCCTATGCATGTATCCAGCAGTCATTGTGGCGAGCCTCCCTTTCATCCTATGCATGTATCCAGCAGTCATTGTGGCGAGCCTCCCTTTCATCCTATGCATGTATCCAGCAGTCATTGTGGCGAGCCTCCCTTTCATTCTATGTATGTATCCAGCAGTCATTGTGGCGAGCCTCCCTTTCATCCTATGCATGTATCCAGCAGTCATTGTGGCGAGCCTCCCTTTCATTCTATGCATGTATCCAGCAGTCATTGTGGCGAGCCTCCCTTTCATCCTATGCATGTATCCAGCAGTCATTGTGGCGAGCCTCCATTTCATCCTATGCATGTATCCAGCAGTCATTGTGGCGAGCCTCCCTTTCATTCTATGCATGTATCCAGCAGTCATTGTGGCGAGCCTCCCTTTCATCCTATGCATGTATCCAGCAGTCATTGTGGCGAGCCTCCCTTTCATTCTATGCATGTATCCAACAGTCATTGTGGCGAGCCTCCCTTTCATCCTATGCATGTATCCAGCAGTCATTGTGACGGGCCTCCCTTTCATTCTATGTATGTATCCAGCAGTCATTGTGGCGAGCCTCCCTTTCATCCTATGCATGTATCCAGCAGTCATTGTGACGGGCCTCCCTTTCATTCTATGCATGTATCCAGCAGTCATTGTGGCGAGCCTCCCTTTCATTCTATGCATGTATCCAGCAGTCATTGTGGCGAGCCTCCCTTTCATCCTATGTATGTATCCAGCAGTCATTGTGGCGAGCCTCCCTTTCATCCTATGCATGTATCCAGCAGTCATTGTGGCGAGCCTCCCTTTCATCCTATGCATGTATCCAGCAGTCATTGTGGCGAGCCTCCCTTTCATTCTATGCATGTATCCAGCAGTCATTGTGGCGAGCCTCCATTTCATCCTATGTATGTATCCAGCAGTCATTGTGGCGAGCCTCCCTTTCATCCTATGCATGTATCCAGCAGTCATTGTGGCGAGCCTCCCTTTCATCCTATGCATGTATCCAACAGTCATTGTGGCAAGCCTCCCTTTCATCCTATGCATGTATCCAACAGTCATTGTGGCGAGCCTCCCTTTCATCCTATGCATGTATCCAGCAGTCATTGTGGCGAGCCTCCCTTTCATCCTATGCATGTATCCAGCAGTCATTGTGGCGAGCCTCCCTTTCATTCTATGCATGTATCCAGCAGTCATTGTGGCGAGCCTCCCTTTCATCCTACGCATGTATCCAACAGTCATTGTGGCGAGCCTCCCTTTCATTCTATGCATGTATCCAACAGTCATTGTGACGAGCCTCCATTTCATTCTATGCATGTATCCAACAGCCATTGTGGCGAGCCTCCCTTTCATTCTATGCATGTATCCAGCAGTCATTGACGACTTACTTGTTAGGAAAGACACCACACCTGTGCAGGGTCGAAATGAAAGAGCATTGAGCATGCTTCAATGTGTAGAAGAATTATGTTCCCGTTCTGCACTATTGCGTTCTGTGTGTGTGTGTGTGTACAGAACTGCCAGTAGTGACGAGAATAGTCGACATGTTTGTGCTATGTGACCGTACGGAGGTTTGCTTCAGGTAGGCACTCTCTCGCTCTCTCAAACCCCCCCCCCCCCTCTCGCTTTCCTTCTTTCTTTCTTTCTATCTATCTATCTATCTCTCTCTCTCTCTCTCTCTCTCTCTCTCTCTCTCTCTTTTTCTCTCTCTTTCTCTCTCCTTTCACCTCTCTGTTCGCTATAGGAGAGAACCCTGCTGTTCGCAGATTGCTCTGTATGCGAAAGCTGCGGTGAATCTTAGTTGTGATTCAGGCTCATAATGCGCATGCTTCCTTTCACCCTCACACTGCACGGCAAAGATTCTGCCTTGTTGAAGTTTCCAATCTGGCACCCATTTCATGCAATGCATGCCCCTCTTGACAACACGTGACTTTTTTTGCTGGCCCTTGTACGCCGGTACTCACACTTGATCCCTGTGTACTTGGGCCACGTGCTGTGCACATGGTGACGTCAATATGCCGGTTTCTTGCAATTACGCGCCTGCGCGAGTGGTGATACGAGTAGTCGTTGAACAAGCATATTGCCAACATTTGCCCTTCCCTCTTCTTTGAGTCGAGACCCGATTGTCCTTTTCCAGTCTCTCACCAAAGCGTGTGTACTTTCCGAATACATGTACATGTACCTCTTGTGGATTCTAGCAACATGCCTGGACACTGTCAGGTGCATCGATACTTTCACTTAAAGGGGAAGTGCATCGATTTTTCAAGTAGGGCTCAGATGAAAGACAATTGGATATCGGTTCCGATGGTATATCTCTCGCTTGCGTACGGCAAAGGAAACTTGCCATATCGCCGATTTCCTGATCCCGTTTCCATGGCGACTACAGGTGATGACGCACATTCTGCTTAGCTCCGTGAGAGAGAAGGTCGATCACCATGATCACTGCAGAATTGTGTCATTTTCAGTTGTCTTCTTGTATTCACGAAGTGAAAGAAGTACTGTGTTCAATGCTGTTAGTGCCGTGAACTGTTTATTAGTAGTCCTCTCCGTTGTGTACTGGAACGTGACACCGACAGGGGAAAGCTGGAGTGCGGAGACGTTAGCTGGCAAGCGAAAATCGTGACGAACCAAGTGCTGAAATCTTGGTTGGGACAAATCAAACATTCAGCATTTACCTCAACCAAGGACCATGCCGTTTGCTCTTTCCACTTCCTGAAGCTGGATGCGCTGCCTGCTGGAGACTCTCCTATCTCTCGTAACATCTTCTGAAGCCAGGTGAGACGACGAGTAGCGGAGATTAGCGAACGAAATAATGTCGTATGTTTTGAAATTTTTGCTGAACAATTCTCAGGATCAGGACAGATGGCGAATACCAAGCATCTTCTCCTAGTCTAGAGAAACCATTTCGTAGGCTACATTCCGCCTAGGGAAATGGCTGGGGAGGACACACTTGGAGGAGAACGAAGTAAGTGATCTTGTTTATGTTGTTCTCTCAGTTTGGTATTGCAATCTTATGTTTGACGAACATACGGCATGGTGCATAGTTGGTCGTTGAGTGCCTGCATGTGCATGTATAAGTGTGTGCTGATAAACACTTCCTATGCAAGAATCTGACACTCATGCTCTCTTTCTTGCAGTATGTGCGCACGTGTGTGTGTGTGTGTGTGTGTGTGTGTGTGTGTGTGTGTGAGAGAGAGAGAGAGAGAGAGAGAGAGAGAGAGAGAGAGAGAGAGAGAGAGAGAGAGAGAGAGAGAGAGAGAGAGAGAGAGAGAGAGAGAGAGAGAGAGAGAGAGAGAGAGAGAGAGAGAGAGGGAGGAGCAGTGTGGAGCATGCCAGTGTGATCGCTGTGGCCGTTGCTTTCTTAGCTGTGGCGTTCTTGCCCGTCACAAGTGTGTGGCTCAGCCCCCAACGACAGTGGGGCCGTGTTGTGGTGAATACTGCGTGTCCTGCGACCGCTGCTGAAGCTCTCCCCGGCCGTACGTCAGTCTCGTGGCAGATGACCCGAACTCTCATTTTGTGTGTGTGTGTGTGTGTGTGTGTGTGTGTGTGTGTGTGTGTGTGTGTGTGTGTGTGTGTGTGTGTGTGTGTGTGTGTGTGTGTGTGTGAGTGTGTGTGGTGTATGTATATATATGTGTGTTGCTCCCTACGTAGCCGGACCAACTCTTGTTTTTGTGTCCCGGGCGCCATGGGGCGGCGTTCTCCCATTCTCTCTCCACTGCCCCTCCGGGCCCACGTGGCTGTGACTCAACAGGGCAGGGCAAGTGTGTGTATGGCGCATGGTGTGTGTGGAATTTGTTCACCCACAACGTTGACGGAAAACCATGCTAGGTGTTGCTGGAATGTATGGAGTCTGCGAGCACTTACAATAACTTACGTCATGTCACAACAAAGAACGGTGCAGTGTTTGACCCTCGTGTAAACATGATGGTGATGGTACCTCACCTAAGCTACCCATGAGGCTAGAAAAAACATCAGGTCAACAGAATTGTACCAGAGGAAAGCATCTATTGCCCAAACTTCTTCATATGAAATGAACAATACCCTTCTTCATAGAGACAACATGCAGATGAAGTGTATGGACAAATAATATATAAATAGGCCATTCACTGAGGGCATGGAATGATCTCTACGTGTAGATTGGATAGACACATGCACGTCTGCAAGGAAAGCATTTGTTCATGGGTTAGTTCATGGGCTGATTGAGTTCACATGGACTAAGTTCATATATGCCATCTCTCCTGAGATATGTTCAGCAAAATTTCAAAACATACGACATTATTTCGTTCGCTAATCTCCGCTACTCGTCGTCTCACCTGGCTTCAGAAGATGTTACGAGAGATAGGAGAGTCTCCAGCAGGCAGCGCATCCAGCTTCAGGAAGTGGAAAGAGCAAACGGCATGGTCCTTGGTTGAGGTAAATGCTGAATGTTTGATTTGTCCCAACCAAGATTTCAGCACTTGGTTCGTCACGATTTTCGCTTGCCAGCCTACGTCTCCGCACTCCAGCTTTCCCCTGTCGGTGTCACGTCCCAGTACACAACGGAGAGGACTACTAATAAACAGTTCACGGCACTAACAGCATTGAACACAGTACTTCTTTTCCTTCGTGAATACAAGAAGACAACTGAAAATGACACAATTCTGCAGTGATCATGGTGATCGACCTTCTCTCTCACGGAGCTAAGCAGAATGTGCGTCATCACCTGTAGTCGCCATGGAAACGGGATCAGGAAATCGGCGATATGGCAAGTTTCCCTTGCCGTACGCAAGCGAGAGATATACCATCGGAACCGATGTCCAATTGTCTTTCATCTGAGCCCTACTTGAAAAATCGATGCACTTCCCCTTTAACCAAACATCTCTGTTGGCCCTGTGCATGTAGTCCATTATATGCACTCAAGTGTCTGTCCTTTTTCTTGTACACACGTGCGTAAACATGAACACACACACACACACACACTCTCTCTCTCTCTCTTTCTTGCTTGCACTGTTCTCTTCCCCGTCGTGTACTTTGGTTCTAGGTTTGACGTCAGGCGCTGGGCAGCGGTAGAGGATTCCAGCTCCAGTATGGTGTTCTGCGCTCACGAAGTTTCCGGTGACGTTCTCAGCAATGGTAGGTTCTGGGTTTCCTGCACAGCACACATTGTCTCATGCTGCAAACTGCAAACTCTTCTGCAAAAACTTTCTTTGCAGCCAGTCTAGCACCCATTGTCTCTGGCTGAAAAACTCTTTTGTGCAGCCAGTACTCCATGCATCACCAGGTTGAGGTGATGTTGTTTGCACACTTGTGCACATACCGCAATAGTTGCCGTGTTGTTGATACTTGACACGGATGTGCGCTCCAATCATGTTTCTGTGTAGGAGTGCGTGGGTGTATGTGAGTAGATGCGTGAACATGTGCACTTGTGCAGGCCATTGGGGGTGAGACATCTTCTGGTATCAAGAAAATCTCCTGGGCTGTTGCCAGCCAGTGACAAGATGTTTAGCTGTTTGAACTATCTTCATTCTCTTCCTACTTGTATATATATTCCTGATCAAGTCAATCTTGTGCTTTTCTTCTCTTGCACACTGATTGTTGGCAGCCATTCATTGTGACCGGAGCCCCAGTGAGAGCATGATAGGGTCTTCGTCGCGCACAAGTGTGGCTGGCAGCCCTCAGGAGGACGATGAAGTCAAGGGTAACGGCCTCTCAATGCGTGAGTACATGTACAATGTACAGTGCACTTAGTCGGGCCGCTTGTATTCATATCTGTTTCTTGGAAATCGATTAGGAAATTTCGAGATCCCTCAACTCGTATTATTGAAGATGGTCAGAGTGACCGAAAAGTTGAGAAAAAAATGTCCGACTGTGTGAAGTAGCAGTGCATCCGAGCGTTGGCCAGTGTTGCCACAATACGAGTTGATTTACTGAAGCTGCGTGAAACGTCGTTCCGAATTGTCAAGATTCCGAAGTATTATAATATTTTGTTATTACTACGTTAAAGTGGCAGCCTCGCTTATTCTGTTTGTTGCTATAGTAAAGATCTTGTCTCCGTGTCACCTATATGTATCTGTTTTAAAAGGTTGTGTATACTTCAAGTACGTATCATTTAGAGATGTTGCGCACAACGAAGTTTCATAGCACGGATCAGGCAACAACGACAACAACAACAGCAGCAGCAAAGGCTATGAAGATTGGTTGATCCAGAGCTTGCGCAACAGTGGGATCGTCAAGCTTTCAGAGTACAGGAAATAGATCTCGACAGTCAGGCATGCACTCACTCAGTGTACGACAGTCAGGCATGCACTCACTCAGTGTACAACAGTCAGGCATGCACTCACTCAGTGTACGACAGTCAGGCATGCACTCACTCAGTGTACGACAGTCAGGCATGCACTCACTCAGTGTACGACAGTCAGGCATGCACTCACTCAGTGTACGACAGTCAGGCATGCACTCACTCAGTGTACGACAGTCAGGCATGCACTCACTCAGTGTACGACAGTCAGGCATGCACTCACTCAGTGTACGACAGTCAGGCATGCACTCACTCAGTGTACGACAGTCAGGCATGCACTCACTCAGTGTACGACAGTCAGGCATGCACTCACTCAGTGTACGACAGTACGCATATGTTGTACATTACCGCGTTGCAGTACGGTGATTGCAACAACAAAAATCTTCATTGTTGAGCTCTTTTTCCGTCGAATGTTCACGAAGTTCGCATCGCGGTGACGCACACAAATGCTGATGCACTTGTTAACAGCACGTATACGCGATTTTTGCCATATTTGTAATTTCAATTGGTAGCAATGTTTTGGGCAGTCATCTACCATGATCAATCTAAGATTTTTCTTTTGGAAAACCAAGCAGCTCAGTTACAATTATCCCGGTGCAGAATTACAGCGTTGCGCCTAGATTACTCTTAGGTCTCACATCACTTTGAACTGTGCTTTGTGGCCCCCTTGTTGTGTATAGATGTGTCGGCAGTGGAGAACATTGCGGAGTCCATCAACTTGCTGGCCAAGTACGTGGACGGTATGCAGACGGAGACACAGCACAGTCTTGTGCAGCTCATCTGGGGTCAGCAGGGTCTGTGCTCACGGCTTGTGGAGGTAGGTCATCCTGTCACTGCACTGGGCTGGGTGGGTGTGGGTGGGTGGGGGCTGAAAAGCCAAGTGATACCTAAAGCATGGCTGAATTGACCAGAGCTCCATGCATACCGTAATTCCGCGCATATAAGCCCATGGGCTTATGTGTGAAACAATGCAGTTTGGGGGTAAAATATCCAGTAAAACATGTTCGTTTTTTAGCCCATGGGCCAATATTCGAATTTTGAAGGTTCACGAAAAAGTACAAGTCCGTGCTCATGGTCAGTCTACCATACTCTACTGGTAAACTGCACTGACCTGCTGTACCATGGTAGGAAGAGTCCATTTTGTGAAAATTCTACTTGACACGTGAGTTGCATGTGTGTCTGTTTATTAGCCCATGGGCTTATAAACGGAGGTGGGCTTATATCCGGATATAGGCCCATGGGCTTATATGCGCGGAATTACAGTATACCGTACTCGCACGATTAGTGCCCCTGGGGCACTATTTTTTCAACGTCCATCACAGATGTGGGGCACTATTCAAGAGAGGGCTTTATTTTTTCACTGGCGCTTAGAGACTGGGGCACTATTCAAGAGAGGGCTCTAATCGCGCGAAGTACTCCAATGGAATCATCCACTCCTCCCCTGCTTTGCGCGGTATTTTGTGGTCTGTTTGGTGTCCGGTCTGATGTGCTGCATACTTGTGCAGCTGGGTCTGTACTTGTAGTAACTCGATCACCGCCATTGTGACATTACTCTTCGTATTCTTGTCATTCTACAGTCCAGTCTATATACTACAATAGACTACTGTGTCTGGGGCCCAGGTGCAAACCAGTACTCTTGACGTATATGTACACGCAGGGCTTGTTCTCGTTTGTAACTTCGGAGTAGTGGCTTGTAGTCTGGCCTTGGGAATCAGAAAGCAGCATGCCAGATGTCCAGTGGCGCTGAATCATTTTCAAACAAAATTATAGGTCCCTGCACACACCCTGGACAGCGGGAACATGTAGTTTGAAGGAATGCATGGTAGAGTTACATACCGGCACATGGTTATGCATGACGTTGGTAGTATTGAACATGCACATGAGTGTTTTCAATCCTACCACTAAACACATGCATAAACCTTCTTGGCTTCTGTGGAATTTGGAAAGGTTCCTTTTCGGATCTGGTTCCACACCGTGTTTGATAAACCGGACGAGTTGACAGCAGTATATATCAAAGACGCACCAAAAGAGGGAACTCTGTCCGAGCTTTGAAGTTCTCACGTTTTATGTATGTATGTTTGTGTGTGTGTGTGTGTGTGTGTGTGTGCACGTTTGTGCATGTGCACCTGTGGGTGAGTGTGTGTGTGTGTACGTGTGTGTGTGTGTGTACGTGTGTGTGTGTGTACGTGTGTGTGTGTACGTGTGTGTGTACGTGTGTGTGTGTATGTGTATGTGTGTGTGTCAATGTGTGCACATCTGAATTTGTGTATCTAGGCTTTGTCATACGGTCTAAAGGCTAAGAGAATGTTACGTGCAGATCGCTGCTTGTGGGACTATTTTGGTGAGTTCTCGCCCCATTCAAACTCTAGACATTTTGGTTGTGATTTCTGTTTCATGCAATGCACGTTTGTACGCGTTTGTGTGTGTGTGTGTGTGCAGTGTGCAAGTGAGTTTTGCAGACGTGAATGTGTGTGCATGTGCACGTTTGTGAGTATGTGTGTGTATGTAATACAGTGCAGCGTACCCGTGGTAAGTACCAGTCTGAGTATGTGAACATGCCGTCACGAGAACACTGTCACCACCTTTGAAAGTGTGATTCCTATTGTTTAAGTAGTATGGCGCACACCCGTTGCTTGAACAAGGTAGTTTTATGTCTCAATGCAGCATGATTGACAAGAATCAGTGCTATTAGGGAGGTGTCGCTCTACGTAATTACGTATGAAAATCCGTACGTCTTACGCGCGGGGAGCGAGGGCAACTTTCATACGTAAATCTCTCTACAGATTTCCGTAGAAAAGCTCTTTCCTACGTTGGGTCCTCCGTAGGACTTTTTGAAATATTTTTCGCATTTTCCGGATTTATCCATGGCAAAGTTCAAGCCGCGAAATACAAGGCACACACCGTACACCACGTGCAAAATAAAATGGAAAACGCGGTTTCGGTTCGTGGTGCATGCGGTGGGCGCATGCAGCCAACGCGTCTCCAAAGCAACAAGGCATGTTTAGCAGTCGTGGAGAAATCACGTAGAGCGAAACCCAACAGCTCTGATTTTTACCTATGAAAATTACGTGCAGTTCCTACGTTATTTTCATACGTAATTCCGTAGAGCGAAACCTCCCTATTGTCCGGTTCCTTGACACATTTCTGTGTTGTACCCACTGCAGACTTGGTGCGGGCCTGCACGTTATCCGCCAAAGGACAAAATCAACAGGCCTGGCACAACTTCTGTGCTACATTCAAGCTGATTGATGAATGTGAAACGTTCGGCAAGCACGTGAAGTCACAGATCCTCATCTGCGAAGGTCTACGGTAAGTTAAACATTCTTCTATTGCAGGCAGTCCGCTGTAGAATGCCAGTCCGCTGTAGAATGCCAGTCTGCCAGAACACCAAACTTGTGGGCAGATTGTGTCTGCCAGTGGGCACCAATCTGTGATGACTATTTAGTATCAAAGCCACTTTAACAAGTTACTTCGATTATTCTGTTCTTCTTCTTTTTTTAATCTCTGCCAGCGGCTATTGCCTGATAAACTTTTTAAAAATAAAGGGCTGTGTTCCCAGCTAAAATAATCAGTTGTGATGCAACCGCGTTGTACGAAATAGGCAGAAATTCATACATATACTGAAGTATTATAATATAATTATTCTACGGCTCACAACAACAAAAAGCTGCAATGTATTTACCGTGGTCTTCTTCAGGATAATTTTTGAAAACGAAAAAATTGATTGGTTTGAGGAAAAATAAGAAAAAAAGAGAAAAAAAGGCATGTCGCCTGGTACAGTAGCTCCTGTGAGTGAAGAGAATTGTATCTCACAAGTGCATCAGGTCAGGAAGACATAATTTAGCACACAAGTCCCCCTTAGTAGAGCCACTGGAATCGGCCCACCAAGGTCTAAATAGTGTGCAAGCACTAAGAAAAATCACCACTTGTTCCAACCTGGGTTTGAACCCGCAATATTGCACTTCCGGATCACCTCTCTTGACCAATACTCTACGGATACGTTTTCTTTCCAAGCACACTCTTTCTCACCATTTATACAAGGCCATTGCTTGGAGCCTACCGCGGCTCCGGTATGTGCAAGAGTACATAACCCCCCAGAGTGTGCAACTCCCACATACCCTGCTGTCCCGTCAGAATTTCAAGTTGACGTCATTATTTATGACGCAATGCTCTTTGCCCCAGTGATTTACAACATGTGTACGGGTGTCAACGCATCACACGTTTTTCTTTCCAATAATTTGTACAGGATCGATCGGCTTCGGTCAACCACAGGTTCCGGATTCGTCTGATAATCCGTGTACTGTGCGCATTGCATCATCAAAATGACGTCAACTTGAAATTCTGTCGGGACAGCACCCATAGTGGAGTTGCACACTCTGGGGGGGGGGGGTTATGTACTCTTGGTATGTGGTATAGTGCTAAAAAGAACCGTGTGTGTGTGTGTGTGTGTGTGTGTGTGTGTGTGTGTTGTATTTCCTGTTGGCAGACTCAACGCCTTGCAGGCTTGGCTGGAAATTTTCCACAAGTCACCGGTAATGTCCAAGATGTACGTCAACAATGCACCGCTGCGTTCCATGGAGGTGTGCCAGGACTTGATGCGCTTGATGCAATGGTGCTCTGGAATCACATTGGTCATTCCTCTACCGGTCGAAACTCTCATCGAAGATAGCATTCGCCCGTAGTCCGTGCCACACAGTTCCCTCAGCTATGGGAGTCATTGACTTTGCTGCACATCAGACCCTCTCTTCTCCCCGTCTTGCTGAGTTTGTCTGTGTACAGTGGTCATCACACTTCCCCTGTGCTAGCTGGCACCCTTGGCGTTTGCTCCACTGGCCCATATGTACTATATGGCGTACATCAAGCAAGATTGCAACCGGGCTCATCCTGCTGCACACAGCCCTTGAAAGTATGCTACTACTGCTGCTGCTGCTGCTGCGATGTCGAACTCATGAAAGGCTATTGCTGCTGCGATGTGGTGGACCTCATGACATGTGGCCATAGCTTGCTGGATGAGCAGCCACAAGTCATGTGCACGTACTTGATATCCTCTGGAGGGCATGTACTATTTGCACAGATCTGCAAAGCACACCACCTCAACACCCAAGTGCACATGGAAAGAATCTCGAGGAACACATTTGCATTGTATGAACTGCAGCCATCCCACACTGCGACGCTATTCAAATTTACCAATTCTCAATTGGCATGGGGTTTTCCCAGGACCGGCTCAACTACTTTGCTATTTGCATTGTCGCTGCCTGGCAGCAAAGTATAATTATCTGCTCAGTCGGTGTGGCACGCTGATTCTGCAAATTTTATTTATCCAGCTCATTCTTATGTTGTTTGCAATCTTCCACATTACTCACCACACACACACAGTCCGATCTACCACCATCAAGGGGGTGGTGGCGGTAACCCTCCTTTCAGCCCGGCCCTTCTCTGAAGACTCCAGGCTATTGGTGGTATCGCCGACCAGCTTTCTGCCGCACTTGTCATTCTTATATTTTACTCAATTTTCCCCTTCGGTCTGCTCATCATTAACCCCTTCAGTTCGTCAGTGGCAGACTACGGGTTTTGTTAGTTGTCTGTCCATTGTGTCAGTATTTCTTTCCCAACTTGACATCATAAAAATTATAGCTATTCGCGGGTAGATCCGGATCACCCAGGATTTTTCATCAATGTGAATGACTTGATTTTTTATTCATTTTCAAAGCCTCATTCGTTTCTTTTCGGTTGACTTTCACAATTTTTGGCACTTTTAGTAACCTATCAGTCCTGGCGGCCATGCGCCAGCCAGCACTGGCAAGTTGATTGCTGGAAAATGTGAACAGATCAGTTCGCCCTCAATCACCCTACCTTGCTTGAGCGTGCTGTGCGAATACAAGTTCGGGTTACTTGTCCCGGGGATCAGAAATGTTCGCAATCTGCGCCTGCAGAGCAAATAAGAACTGCATGAAGTGAAGCGTTCTCCGCTTCTGATAGACTTGCTTTCCAGTCGACGACGACGTACATTGGAACAAAACATAGAGTTGTCAGAAAGGTTGACAGATATTGCCTGCGATGTTCATCTGAAAAACGGGATCCGGTATCCTGTTCCAGAAAATTAGTGGAGGAGAAGAAAAAAAGTAGTTTCACCCCCGGTGGGATTCGAACCCACAACCTTTGAATGCCGTCAAGCAAAGCCCGAATAGAAGTCCAATGCGCTAATCCATTGCGCCACGGGGGTGACCACGGATGTGTCGGTCTAAACTGCGTACTCATCGGTGCGTGGGTGGGATAATCCACCCACGCACGAATCATGGTACAAGTCAACTGTCATCTTCCGATGACGAATCGCCAACTTCATCACCATCCTGCTCCTCATCTGACTCCTCCAGCATGCTACATCTTGACGTGAGACGTTTTTTTGATGATTTCAGAGCGCAAAACGAGCGTTTGCACTTTACCACAAGATCAACACGAAGCAGCTGCTCAAGCACGGAGCAAAGATCTTCAAGCAGCCGATACTTAGAAAGCAGTGATTCCTGCACAAGAGCACCGGAACGCAACACATTGCACTGGACATTGCTACTCGCCATGGGGAATTTCCCTTCGGTCAGGTAGGCATGCGTCACATTTGCTTGACACTCCACATAACGGCAAAACCCTGTTGCGCCGCCTTGGAGCCTGCTGCTACCGTGAGCATGTTGATGCAAGAGCCTGGGTATGCAAGCAAGAGCTTCACCCAGAATGGCTGCTGCCTCTTGTTGATCCTGCCGTATAGCCGGGATTGCGTGATCACACAGAGTGACATGATCATCGGTCAGGTAGTGGTAGTGGCTTTCCGATGTGGATGCCGTCTGGTGTGGAAGCTTGCCGTGTTCATGTAGGGTTGTCACGCGGCTAGACCGATCAAGCAAGGAAGCCGACATGAGCATCTCGGCAAAACCCCCGCCATCAATTGTGTAAGCTGAAGATATAGTAGTGTCATAGTTAGACTTCTCCTTGCTGACTATCTGCGCATGCTCAGTACAACCACCGACAACCGGGGCTTCAAGACCAGGACTGACACAGGTACTGTTCATGTACTGTAGCGATGTGAACGAACCATGTCGATCTGTTTCTGTCGCTTCACTGGCGCTGCTCCGGGGATGCGCTGAAGACAACACTTCACCTGTCAGGGCTGACGGCGGTAATGTGACGTGGTGGGACCAGGCCGAGGGCAGTGCGAATGTGCCACTCAGTGCTCGCAGGCAGGCCACGACGCTGTCCGAGTAGAGACGGCACAGCTGTGCTGATGCGGCGCACACCACCGTGTTCACTGCCAGCGATGTGACGGTGATCGGTGGTACGGCGCTGGCATTCACACCGCAAGCCGCAGAGGTGCTGCATGCGTCAGCGTGCGGCTGACTTGACCGACAGGTCTGTAATGAACAGGCTGGATCGTGACACTGTTTGCGTACTGTCGATGCAATGTGCAGATACGTTTTGACTCCGATTTGCTTCATGGTCACGGCAGCCATTGTGATGGTATCAGATTGGTTGGATAGTCGGCTTGTCATGTCATACACACTGCACTTGTACATGCTAGCAATGTTATGCATGGCCTTTCTTCCACCATTACATTGCAAGGTCAGCATACCGGCATGTCGACGGCAATGCTCACTCAAACTGGCATTAGTTGAACTGGTCAGCACGAGGATGTGCTGGCCCGGTTCAGGGTGTCTTGCCGCAATTGTCGCTGCAAGCCTCTCACCTTGCTCAGACTGCCATACGAGAAGCGACGAGAATTTCCGTGCAGTCGGAATCTCCATGGAGCCTCCTGGCCAGCCGGATGCTGGGTCGGTATCGACAAAATAGAGTGCACAGCGCCGCGTAGAAGTGTGTTGATCCTGCATGCCCTGCCCCGCCGTATCAAGCCACTTCCTGCACTCTGCTTGACGACCCGCCGGTAACAGTACAAGATGACCTGGGAGAACTTGAGATGAGCTCACTGGCTCTCCCGTCACTTCGTAACATAGATCTTCCAAAAAGTAGTGTGCAACATGCACTAAACCACGCTGCAAGCTGCCGTCGGTGCTTAGTAGCAGCGTGTGTGTGATCTCCAACACCAGTCGTGTGAGTTCTTTGCAGGTGCCAGGCGAAAACTTGCCACATAGCACGCAGCCAGAAACTGCTTCAACAAGAGGTCGGATTTCTTCTCTCGCTCTCTCCGGATCCACACGCATATCAGCTTCGCTAGCGTTGGCTTCAACGCGCACCATGACGTCAAACCTTGTGCAATGTTTTGCAAGCGCTGGCAAAACGACTTCAGGCAGCCAATTTGTTCGGACGTGAGAAAGTGCTCGCGCGAACTTGGCTCGCATGAAGGGCTTTGAGGCGCTGGCCACCATTGATAGTCTTCTCTCGACGGCCTCCAGACCTTCTGCCAAGCAGAGAAGCAAAGCGGAAGAACCATCTCCAAACTCGTCGTGTCTTCTTCTGGCTGTATCCAGTGCTAGTTTGGCGCAGGGTTCCCGAAGTTGCAGGCACTCCAAAATGAAGAAGCCATTGTTGCTGGATACAAAACCGCCGGTGTTTCTCGCTATAAGAACGTCTCTACCCAATGGGCCGAAGCAAGGGGAGAGTACAGCTCGTAGGGTTTGCCGAAGCGAGTCAAGTCCAACATCTGCTCGGTTCGCTGCATGCTGCTCCATTCTGCGGCTACCAACCAGTCGGCGAAGCTCGTCATGCAAGTCACAGTGGTCGCCGGGCCAGGGCTTGCTTCATTGAATGACTCCGGGCATAATCCCAGTTGATATCCATGCCATTGCCATCTCTGCGCTTCAAGTAATAGTTCAAGGCGTGTGCTGCCTGAGATCTACCACCGCGCTGTTCCAACTCCCGCTTTCAGAGGAACATTTCGCGTCGGATTGTCATGCCCGCACTCTACTACTACTAAGTACTACTACTAGTATTACTAGTATCTGTGTCGTCATTAGTTTCTCCGCTTGGTATCACCTGTCTCAGCGGTCACAAACCCATACTCCCCGGCCATAGTGTCCCACATGGTCCACTGACACTGTGACAGGTCTCAGGACTGATAACAGGTTAGCACCCTGTAGTAGGTCTACGCTCGTCGTACTGATACTGCTAGTGATACTGCTAGTGATACTGCTAGTGATACTGCTAGTGATACTGCTAGTGATACTGCTAGTGATACTGCTAGTGATACTGCTAGTGATACTGCTAGTGATACTGCTAGTGATACTGCTAGTGATACTGCTAGTGATACTGCTACTAGTGATACTGCTACTGATACTGCTACTGATACTGCTAGTGATACTGCTAGTGATACTGCTAGTGATACTGCTAGTGATACTGCTAGTGATACTGCTAGTGATACTGCTAGTGATACTGCTAGTGATACCTCGTAAGACTACTAGATCTAGCTACTGCCCTGGTTGTAGCATCGGTAGATCTACCATTCAAGGAGCCTAAAACAGTCGTACCCCTGGTAAATCGACCAGTCCAGAATCCAGAGTACAGCTGGTGAGTGGCCCACTCGGCTCAAGCAAGGACGCTACCAGGAGGTTTAGACCGTCGGACTCCCTGCACGCTACCAGCAGTACAACTACAAGTCGCCGTGCAAACTCGGTACATGCAGATCTACTCTGACGTCAGTAATGATGTAGTGCCATGCACCAGCCCTGTCATGGCATGGCAACCTGGACCGCTAAAGATCGCAAGATGAAGCCATTGGCATAGCGCCACTGTGAAAGTGAATAGGAACAGCCGTAGTCTTGGTAACGCTATTCGACTTGCAGCAGTTGTAACGTGTGGAAGTGCTGCCTGGAACTGCCTGGATGTGTCCGTGCAACGGCTTCAATATAAGGAAGGTAAGTAATTAGTTGAAGATCTTGACCATGACCTATGTGTACCAATGGCATGTCATTTTTTGTACTACAGTGCCGCTCCATGAAATCCAGTCGAGTCACTCAAGTACGTGCCGGGCGTTGTGCAGGCATAGACCTGCAAACACTGGGCTGCGAAAAGGTGCAAGACGCAAACTTGACTTGCACAACCGGATTTCATTGAGCAGCACTGTCGTACTGGTCTACAGCTTGTGCTGACCAGCGTCTGGGAGTGCACACACCGTAATGTATCGCCCCACCGCCTGGACCCTGTCATGGTCATGTTTTGGAAGTAGGGCGGATCAGAGCAAATCCTGGCTGTCCGACTGTGACATTACACGGCACGTTCATTCTGCAGCACACAGTGTGTCTTGACATTGCATGATCTGCCAGTCCCACACACTCATTTATCTTTCCCGCGGCAGCAAGCAGGGCCGTGCATGACCACTGCATACGCAAGCTTTTATGCCGTACGTGGGTATGCATGACCTTAGTTGCACTCTGCGATACCCATACTGAAGTATATAATTAATTATGCTATGCCGCCTGGGTGAAGATCGAAGTTGGCCACTCTCGCAAGACGGGACTGACGCTCTGGCGGTGCTATTATTTGGGATACATGCATGTGCGTGGTGATCGAGCTGCAGCAGATACAACTTCACAAGGTGCAATAGATTGCCGGCTTGGACATCATGCACGTGCGGACATCATGCATGTGTGGGTGCGCGTTCGTACAGCATTGCATGGTCAGTGAAATTCGCCGCAATGTAAAATAGCACCGCGGGCGCTGTTACCGCTGTATGGCCCTAGTACCAGTAGCACACCGAACACTACAAGCTACTCGCCTATTCACCCCCAAAGCACCATACCGGCACTGCAACACCAGAGCAGTAACAGTAGAACGACCATGGCATGCAAAGTTGTTATTGCAAACACCATGCAGGACTGTTTTAAAAGCGTAACGGCACCTGACCGGTCACATGATTCACAAAACAGTCAATGGCCATTGTTCATAGTTCCATACGCCAAACTGGTAACTGTTGTAGTGATGCACCGGCAAGGGTATTTATGCCATGATGAGACAGAGTACAGACTCATTATGTTGACTTGCTAGCAATAAGACATGTTTGCAGTGTACTCTTTGTGATACAGTAAGTAAGTAAGTGAGTAAGTAAGTGTGCTACAAATACGGTGTCACCGTACTGTTGGGTCCCGACGAACAGTGCGCCACAGAACAGTGCGCCACAGAACAGTGCGCCACAGAACAGTGCGCCACAGAACAGTGCGCCACAGAACAGTGCGCCACAGAACAGTGCGCCACAGAACAGTGCGCCACAGAACAGTGCGCCACAGAACAGTGCGCCACAGAACAGTGCGCCACAGAACAGTGCGCCACAGAACAGTGCGCCACAGAACAGTGCGCCACAGAACAGTGCGCCACAGAACAGTGCGCCGCAGAACAGTGCGCCGCAGAACAGTGCGCCGCAGAACAGTGCGCCGCAGAACAGTGCGCCGCAGAACAGTGCGCCGCAGAACAGTGCGCCGCAGAACAGTGCGCCGCAGAACAGTGCGCCGCAGAACAGTGCGCCGCAGAACAGTGCGCCGCAGAACAGTGCGCCGCAGAACAGTGCGCCGCAGAACAGTGCGCCGCAGAACAGTGCGCCACAGAACAGTGCGCCACAGAACAGTGCGCCACAGAACAGTGCGCCACAGAACAGTGCGCCGAAGAACGGACAGGTAACTGGTTACATGTAGGGTTTCGTCAAGCACGGCTTACCGATCATATTATACAATTGCTCAACTGCGTATCACACACGAAAAAAAGTATGAACAACCTATTGCATCACTGTAGGTTAGCATGCTGCTCTGCGGCAGTTGAAACTAACAGTACTTTCAACTTTGAAAGTACTGTTAGTTGACAGTGCTGTATGCATATAGTCAGTCAGTGCACCCAACAGTACTATGGTCAGTGAAATCCAACTACTCGTAGTATTTCGTACTGTAAACCGCCCAATGTTTGAGTCACTAATTTTGTTGCGATCTCTCAGAACCAGCGAGTTCACGATGGCAAATGTTCGCGGAGCACTGTGGCCACACATATATAATACACCCACTGTTGAAATTTGATTTCACGGTGGTCAATATTTGCGGTATGCTCTTAGTCGCAAATTAGCAAACATGAATACCTCGCAGACATTTTAGGTACTGTAAACTGCCTAATATTCGCGACGGATTAATGTTCGCTATTTTCGCGAGAAGAGCGTAACGCGAAACCATCGTGAAAGCTAACTTCAATAGTGGGTGTATGTAAGTGGCCCCAGTGCTTCGCGAACTGTTGCTATCGCAAACTCGCTGGTTCTAAGAAATCGTGAAAATTGAGTGACGCGAATATTGGGCGGTTCACAGTAGTTTACAGTACATGTGTATGTGTTGCATCAAGACTACATGTATGTGTTGCATCAAGACTACATGTATGTGTTGCATCAAGACTACATGTATGTGTTGCATCAAGACTACATGTATGTGTTGCATCAAGACTACATGTATGTGTTGCATCAAGACTACATGTATGTGTTGCATCAAGACTACATGTATGTGTTGCATCAAGACTACATGTATGTGTTGCATCAAGACTACATGTATGTGTTGCATCAAGACTACATGTATGTGTTGCATCAAGACTACATGTATGTGTTGCATCAAGACTACATGTATGTGTTGCATCAAGACTACATGTATGTGTTGCATCAAGACTACATGTATGTGTTGCATCAAGACTACATGTATGTGTTGCATCAAGACTACATGTATGTGTTGCATCAAGACTACATGTATGTGTTGCATCAAGACTACATGTATGTGTTGCATCAAGACTACATGTATGTGTTGCATCAAGACTACATCAGTACATGGTTTTCATATACTCTTGCCACGGTTGCATCCATGGCGTGTGCGTCCCAAGCAGAGCGGCTCTTGACACTTTGTGCAGCTCAGATTAGTGCACACCTGGGATAATAGGGAGGTTTCGCTCTGCGGAATTACGTAGGAACTGCACGGAATTTTCATACGTAAAAATCACAGCTGTTGGGTTTCGCTCTACGTGATTTCTCCATGACTGCTAAACATGCGTTGTTGCTTTGGAGACGCGTTGGCTGCATGCGCCCACCGCATGCACCATGAGCCGAAACCGCGTTTTCCATCATTTTGCACGTGGTGTACGATGTGTGTACCTTGTGTTTCGCGCGGCTTGAACGTTGCCATGGACAAATGCGGAAAATGCGAAAAAAATATTTCAAAAAGTCCTACGGAGGACCCAACGTAGGAAAGAGCTTTCCTACGGAAATCCGTAGAGAGATTTACATATGAAAGTTGCCGTCGCTCCCCGGCGCGTACGACATACGGATTTCCGTGCGTAATTACGTAGAGCCAAACCTCCCTAACGTGACCAGTGGCAGTACAACTGGCACGCCATGTAATTCCTAAGCCAGGTCCTGGATCTAACCATTTTAACCAGGAGTTTGTACCTCCCCTGCCCTCTCTCTCCCCCCCCCCCTCTCTCTCTCTCTCTCTCTCATCGTCTACGTTTGCGGGCTTGTCATATTATTGAAATCCAAACTTTTGGCATATGTAGTGCAAGGTAGTTCATGCAGATAGGCACAACAGACATGCTTTGTGTACAAGCTAGAATACCACCCACCCTTATCCGCAGATTGTGCAACTAACTTCACTCTCAGTATTGTCCCGCACATATTGACATACTACAGTCGTGGCCAAAGAAATCCGACCCGCGAGTCAAAAGTAGCACCGCGTTTCCATTTCAATTACATCATGCATGTTCCCAAAACTGATCCGAGGGCACGAGCCTTGGCACTGCTTTCGGCGCGTGGGTTGGATTTCTTTGGCCACAACTGTAGTACCCAGGGAGTCGTAAAATACGGACAAGTATTTTACGACTCCCTGGTAGTACCCTAAACTCGTGGTGGACATGTCGGCATACACGTCCATTGCCCTCTGATCATGCGTGCACAAATTTATGCAAGGAAATACGTGCGAGGCGTTGACGAAAAAACCCCAATGCAAGGAGCATTGCGTCATAAAAGATACGTCAAGTTGGAATTCTGCCGGGACCGCTTTGCATGCATGCATGCATGGCAGAGTTTTTATTATTATTTAGAAGATGACTTCTATAATTATTATTATAGGCACGTGTGGGTTGGGTTTAACTTTGCGAAAAATTTGGCAAACCTGTCAAAATGATGTCCTTGAACTATTGGCCGCAAGTGCAAGGCTACGTTCAGTAGTACCAAGAGTTATGTACTCTTGGTAGTACAAGTCATGTACTCTCGGGCCCTGCTGATCCGAAGTGCCTTAGGGCATGTTCGATTAGTAAGGATCGGGATCCAGATCTCAGATCCGTCGGATCCTTCAGTCAACTGGACACTTTTTTGGGCCTTGACTGTTGCCATGTTGACGAAGTAATAAAAAGTCGTACTCCCCGCGCCAGTTGTACAAAAAGTCAGCAAGCTCTATCTCGATCCACGTGTGCGTGCCACAATGTGTACAAAAACGATTTTTACCCGCCATATACGCACAAAGGTCACATTTGGATCCGTTGGATCCGGTCAACCCTGCTCCCCGAGGTGGGTTGACCGTATCCAAATCCGAAGGATCCGGATCCGGATTCGACCAATCGAAAGTGTGCGAATCCAGTGGATCCGATGGATCGGGATCCCGATCCTACCAATCGAACATGCCCTTATAATTTATATCTTAGCGTTGCACTCGTGACAACAAATTCAAGGACATGTTTAAAAAAACCTTTTCTCCACCGTTTTACGAACGTTCCAAGCTTCGTTTTCACTCAACGCTGCCCATAAGTATACCGGCGTCGCACCGGACCGGATGTGAAGCACTCATAGGAGTCATATAACCCATGCACCGTGCCCTCATGGCAGGCAATCACACCAGAAGCCAGGACTCGCTTCAACGACACACAATACATCACATTCCAAAAAAAAATAATACACGGACACTCGAATGTGAAAATGGCCATAATGCGAACAGCAGAAGGCCACCAGATAAGATAACGAGACTATTGTACAGATAGGATTTAAAAAAGCAAAGCAAATCGAGACATCATTAACATGATAAACATGGCAAGAACTATGTACAACACCTACATGTACAGCACATGACAATAGCAGCCGAGAATGAGAGCAGCGGAGGACAAACACGCAGCACGAAAACAAAATAACCAGACCAAATATGGACAATATGTTGTTGCGTGTACATATGCAGGGAGAGAGAGATTGTTATGAATGGCGATTTTTGCACAGGCGCACGTGCAATGGGGCATCGATGAGACAAATTAATGATGATGACTTCATAGCCGCATGATAGGTAGTGATAAGATCATGATACTCAATCAGCACTATGCTATACATGCAGCTGCAGCTACTTCTGCTGTAGGTATTAGAAAACCGTGAAAGAAGATGTATTGTCAGCCGTGAAAGGAAGGTCTAGTCCGTGAATGTACATCTAGAAATTCCAGTTGCTCCTATTTTCCGGCAGTCTGCTGTGTGTGTGTGTGTGTGTGTGTGTGTGTGTGTGTGTGTGTGTGTGTGTGTGTGTGTGTGTGGGTGTGTGCGTGTGTTTGGTGCCAGCAGGCAACATGCAGCCGTGCCGTAGGAAGTTATCATAACAGCTGTCCTCTGCTGCGTTGCTTTTAACATTTACTAAAATATTGCTGATGAGGGGAAAATGGCATGCGGGACGACTTTCTTTTTTTCAGCGGAAATGACTTGCTTATTACAAGGTGATGGGTCACTCACTATATACACTATATATACAATGGCGGTGGTGGTCCAGGATATGCTGGAAAGGACAGCTTCACAACTGAATGTCAGCCAACTCCCTGCCAGTATTGGCACTAAAGCTGGTGACACAATCACCGCACACTCACACAGTGGGAGCAGTACATCATGCTAGGTAGGTGTACTTGTCCATCTGTCCGTCAACACGCTCTAGATACTCCTTCTCAATCAGAACGTCAATGCAACGCTGTACAGAGAGACAAAGAGAGAGAGAGAGAGAGAGTGAGTGAGAGGGTGAGAGAGGAGCGAGGGTGAGAGAGTGAGAGAGAGAGAGAGTGAGAGAGGAGCGAGGGTGAGAGAGAGAGAGTGAGAGAGGAGCGAGGGTGTGAGAGAGAGGGAGAAAGAGAGAGAGAGTGTGTGTGTGTGTGTGTGTGTGTGTGAGAGAGAGAGAGAGAGAGTGAGCGAGAGAACTCGGCCAGTACAAGTATCACCAGCCAGTACAGGTATCGCCCCTAGGCTCGTAGCAGACTCGTTTTAACACAATATAAATGACATTCAAAACAAAAGAGAATTCAGGGCAAACATTAATCATCATCTCCCATCTCTCACAGTGGACCCTCATCGGTGAAATTCGGATATACAGATGTACTTCTGAAGTAATGACCAGCGTTTCTTGTGTGCAGGCAAAGACTGTGTTGTCGTGGATGAGAGGAGAATCATATCTATGACAAGGCTACACTGGAGCCACAAGGTTAAAAACTTGCCATTGTACTCTAATTTCAGAAATTTTGGGTGCTCAATATTTTCGGTATGAGGGCAAAAGGGTTAGGTGAACAGAAATTCCGGTACAGAGAAGCAGTTTCCTATTGGATTATGTGTGTTAATGTTTGTTCAGTTTTAATATTGAAATTTCAGATATGAAACAAATGTACCAAAGTACCGAAAAAAAGTACACCGAAAATTTGTGAAATTACACTGTATTCAAACAGTCAGTCCTTGCTCCACTCTACACCCCACACAGTGCTGCATGAAAACATACCACTAAGATTTCACAGGACTTTTGAGAGTTCAGAGCAAGGAGAAAACTCAACTTCTTCAGAAATTCTGGGAAGGTGTAGACCCAGAGAGCAGGGAAGGGGGGGGGGGGGCTTACCTTGATGATCGGAACTCTGGGCTTGAAACGGCTTGATAACTGTCCAAGTACCTCACCCATCAGTTGCTGGTGAGATAGGGTTTTCCTCATCTTCATGATACGTACCACAGCAGCCTTTTCACACACGCAAGTATACACGCACGCACACATGCACATCCGTATACAGCAACATCAGAAGCAAAAGTCAGGACAAAGTACAACAGAACAGCCGGCAACACCAAAGTATACTGTAAAACCGGGAATTATCAGTGGCGGGATATTTTTCAGTATTTCCCAAAATCAATGGTTCAGCAGCACGGAAATTTCGATCTTGTGCAACAGGACACCCAATCGACACAGGTATTCTGACTTTGCTTGCAAGTTGCCACTAGACATGCATGCACGCATGCACACATGAACATCACCCCCCCCCCCCCACACACACACACAACGCACGCACACACGCACGCACGCACGCATGCTTGCAGACTGACCTGGATCAAAAGCTTCCTGTCTTCTTCGATATGCTTGTGCGTTGCCTCCTGCTCAGCCTTCACCTCACCCTTCAATGGCACGTTGATGTTGATACGAAGCTTCTTGCTACAACGCACAGCAGGAAACAACAATCAAACCTTTGGTGAGAAAGCACAGCCTTCGCAACTACTACATGTACCGTAAAGTACCGCCAGAGCGCCCCACGATCTCATCCTTTCGTGGTCGTATTGTGGAGGTGGTCTGCTGTCTGTAGGTCATACGACATGAACCTTGTACACATATTGCACGTTTTGCAGTCAATCCGTACCTTCAAGAGGACACAAGCTCCACACAAAAACCTGCCAAGTGTGACCTTAGTACACTAAGATTCTCACACCGTACACACTTCGTTGCACTCTGCCATACGATTTTCCTTTCTCTGGCTGTAAAATTGAGGTGGGGCGCTCTCGCAAGACGGGGCGCTCTGGCGGTACTTTACGGTACATGTAATGCAGCTAATAGCTAAAGCATCAACATAAAATCATTAGTTTCAGGGAAAGATGCAAACGGGAAAAGCCTGAAGAAAAAAATTGACTGTCACCACCAGGACTAGAACCAGGGGCCTTCGATCTACGCGTAGTCATGTTCTACAGTATTAGCAGGCAACACATGCATGCCTATCACAGGCTATGCACAAGGCTACTCGAAGAACAACAGGACATCATGCACTTACTTTCTGTACCCCAGGAACAAGCTGACAATCGAGTCCTGTGTTGGAGCATCATCCTTGCACACCTAATACATACACACACGCACACAGCACATACACACACACAGCACATTGGCGGCTTCCTATACATTGTACGATCAAACAAACATTCGTGGGAGTTAGTCGTCACAACACACGGCTTAAGCGTACACGAATGAGAGCACTGCTACCCCGCTCCCCTATGACTGCTATACGGCGTACACGCGTCTTACCAGTAGCTTGCATTTCAGCAGAATCGCAATGACTTGCATCAGCGTATCCTGCAACACAGCAGCAAGAAGGAGAAAGGCACGTTGAAATTACAGTAGGAGAAACATCACAAAACATCCATTCCAATCCAATCCATAAAACAGCATGTCAAGTCTCACAAACCATGAGCTAAATCTTCCCCAGCGTTCTCCCAAGACCAGTATGAAGACGGTGCACACAAAACATCCGATCCATAAAATAGTATGTCAAGTCTAACAAACCATGAGCTAAATCTTCCCCAAAGTTATCCCGACACCAGTATGAAGACAGTGCTGTACATACCTCCTTGATCAGGGTCACTTTCTGCAAGTGTCGGATACTGTGAGAGTCGTGATCATTGAAATGCAGGAGCACAGCAATTTGGTACGTGGATGCCTGTCTCCCACGCGCAAAAGCGACGCCAACGATGAAAGCAACAGCCGCGGACACAGAAATAAGAAAATAAGAACACAGAAGTAACATCACGACAAGAGAAAGACTACCTGGCAATGCATCCTACTCAGTCCAGTCCATGGCCTTTGCAATACAGGACAACTAGAAGCACTATCCCCATTTCCACGACAACGTACACCAGAACAGTACTAGCAACGGCAACGGCAATGGATGAAGGCTGGTGATGGTGCTGGTGATGGTGGTGGTGATGGTGGTGGCCTGGCATGAGCCAGACTTCTCTAAGCTGGTTGTGTTTCTCAGCACAATTGTCTAGCCGGTGGTAACGCAGATGTGCGAACTTTGCGTTACTTTTATAAAAATGCAGGAAAATACACATTCAAGAGATCATCGATGAAACCTGCATCTCACATTCTCACTACAATACGGTAGTGACCCCCTGCACAACTCACCTGAAAGATGTACTTGTTCTTGAAGCAGGTGGTTGTGAGTTCACCCTGTTCAGTACAATCAAACATGTAACGTGACACACACACGTACACACACACACACACACACACACACACACGCACACACACACATACACACACACACAGAGACAATGGGCTCAGTACCATACCGCTCGCTAGGAAAGACCTCAGACTAGCAACACATAGGAGTGGCATGGGTGAATACAAGAAGATACGATTATATAACCCAATACTAGTTCAATACTAGTATTAGATAAACTTTGTTATAGTTCACACATGTTGTTAGTTTGACAGCATGAAACAAGGTGGAGGACACTGTGTTCGGAAACAGTGACCTTACTACAACCATCCACGGTTGGCAGAGCCCCGGTCCGTTGGGACCATCTGAACCATAGGGGTGTTGAACTCGGTTCTGACCCTCATTATGCTAGGGGAGTTTTTAGACTTCTCCTTACGTCAGTCGTGTATTCTTTGATCGCTCCTGGATGTTCAACACCCATATGGTTAAGACAGTCCCAACGGACCGGGGCACTGTTTCCGAACACAGTGTCCTCCGCCTTGTTTCATGCTGTTAAACTAACAACATGTAAGAAGATACTAGTACCGAACAATCTCACTTAAAGGGGCACTCCGGGAATATTTTCGGTGGTGTGTTCTCTTCATGGGGGCCTTATATGGCTCCCAAGGAATGGGGAATCGCGAAAACTAGGCCCAAAAAAGTCGATATATGAAGCTAGGGAGGGCCAAGTTTGTCTCCTCTTTTGATGGTTTTGATGACGTCACGTGTGATTAGTATTCAAATTCTCTGCATTTGAAGATCTTAGTTGTTTGAATTTTCTGGTGATGAAGAACGATGTTTGGTCAACATTCCCAAGCTTCACAACTGCGACCATACTCTAAGGAACCTGAAGGACCTCCTGAGGTGCCCCTGGTAGAAGCGCAGCCTGATGACGGCCAGGAAATTGGAGCGGACGACTTCACTGGTCGACAAGGAAATAACGATTGGTGTTCCTGCCAGAAATGTGGGGTGATGCAGAGGGCAGTCGATTACCTTCGCTGTCGAGAGAGCGCTGCAGCTGTTAGCATTGACAGCCCTTTGACGTGCGTTACACATCACCGCGACTTCGTGTCAGCTTGTCTAAACAAAACTGTTCTGACCAGATGCCTCACAGCATATAGAGAATTTCGGGATCCTCGTACGCGGACCAGTGAAGTCGTCCGCTCCAATCTCCTGGCCCTCATCAGGCTGCGCTTCTACCAGATGCACCTCAGGGGGGTCCTTCAGGTTCCTTAGAGTAGGTCTGCAGTTGTGAAGCTTGGGAAACTCGACCAAACATCGTTCTTCATCACCAGAAAATTCAAACAACTAAGATCTTCAAATGCAGAGAATTTGAATACTAATCACACGTGACGTCATCAAAACCATCAAAAGAGGAGACAAACTTGGCCCTCCCTGGCTTCATATATCGACTTTTTGGGTCTAGGTTTCGCGATTCCCCATTCCTTGGGGGCCATACAAGGCACCCATGAAGAGAACACACCACCGAAAATATTCCCGGAGTGCCCCTTTAAGGACGCGAGCGTGATCCACCAGTGAAATTCCGGAGGATCTAGAACAGCACCCTACACATAGAAATTGGCGAAGATCATTCACTGCCGCCATAAAGTAACTGTTGTAACTGGCATAGCCGCGACTCTCACCTTCGACATGCTGTAAAGCCAAGTCAACTTGCGTCCGCTGTGCTTGTTCGTATAGAACGAACTCAAGCGAGTTTGAACTTTTTCCAACTGAGCACAACAAAGCGCAACAGAAATAACACGAGGCATTCAGGGGTGCGGCAGCAGCAACCAAAAGGATAAAGAAATTATTGCTGACAAACACGGGAAACCAAAACCAACAAGCAAGACATCCTGTACTGATGATCTCTAGCCGCAGCACACACTGAGAACACGTAGAATTTGATTTCACCTAACAAGTTGGCTTATCAGAGTGCATAGTCTTAACAGCACAGAAACCCCACGAATGTGTAACTCTTAGTCATGTACGGGGTCTGTCACGGCAGAACTTCACATCATGTGACGAAACCAATACACACTATTTGCACCCAGTGCATGATAGGTACAGGGTTGTGTGTGTGGGGGGGGGGGGGGCATTGTAGTCCCAGACCTGAAAACATTGGGCGGTGCACTGGTGCAAAACACTACATCTTAATCATGGCATTAGATTTCATTGTGGTTGGTATCCTCACCTCAGGTGGCAGGGAAAACTCGCCAGCTACTGCTACAAAAGGCCATGATCCAGAGCTGAGAACTTGAATAGTGAAGTCCACAAGGCCTGCAAGAAGAGGAGAAAGCCAACCAGGCACGGGCATATCAAAGAGCACCAGGAACAACAACAACAACAACCGTGAGGATAAAGA